AGGTAATTTATATCGGTCAATAATAATTGAAAATGATTCAATTGAATATTTTTTCATCCATAACTGTTGATCAACATCGTTTGAATATTGTTTTAATAATTGATGTTTTGAACATTTATTATGATGATTACTTCTTTTTAATTGTTGTTTTCTTCGTTTTGAATAATTATAAGAAATAGTTGATCGATGTTGATTCCCTTTTGAAACTTTTTTGTTGATTGTCGATAATGTTTGTTTTTCTTGTTTATCTTCTAATACATTCATTTCAAATTGATTTTCATTATTATCTTGTTCAATTGATTGATAAGATTTGTTTATGTTATCATTTGATTCAATATAAGAATTGTTTAATAGATGACGATTTTCATTATTATTTTCCATAGAATTATCAACTTCAGCTGAACTTGTCTCAGATAAATTTTCTTTGAAAGATAATCCAAGAGTCTTAGTTGAATCTTGATTATTTATATTCGAAGATAAACTATCATTCGAATTATTTGTCAATGAAAGATTATTCTCTTGAAATTCAACAGATAATTTATCCTTTTCCGATTGATTACCTAATTAGAATTTTTTTTTCTATATTTTCTTGTCAATATAATAAGAATTTGTTTTATTTAAATTCGAATAGAACTGAAAGTTCAAGTCTCTCATATTAATTCGAACATAAGTTTTGAAAAAAAATTCTCAATGGCAAAAAGATAAAGTTGATCTGAATTAAAATTCTATTCTCAATTCAAAAAGTGTAATAAGCGATATGTCAATTTGACTATTTAAAAGTTACATTCAAAGATTCAGTCATTGAATAGCAAAAGTCGAACTATTCAAATTGTTCATTTATCAGTTGAAATTTTTCAATAACTTCAAGTGAAGATAGACTAGATTGTCTACTAAGATACCCACATGAATTCTTCACAGTTGAATGCTTAAGTATCAACTTTGTTTTTATCGAGATTGACAAGAATTTTAATGAAATTTTCGATAATTAAATGTATCCATTTGATTGAAGACCATCAAGTCATAATGTGACGTCGGCGCAAACCAACACGAAAATTTTCGATGTGTAAAACATTAACTAACTCAAAGTTGTCTCCGTTTATTCACGATACTGTTCTTGTCTCTTTTAAGATCACAAGTTAATCTTGAAAATATTTTATTGTGATTGGCTTTCAGATTAGGAAATAATTTATATGGACATGATCTATTTGATTTTATGTCAAAATAATGAAATAGAAATTGTGATTTGTGCTCAGAACAATAACTTAAGCAGACAACAGTTTTTGAAAACGCCTTTAAGCGCTCTAATCGCCGTTTCCGTGTGAGTGTTTTCCCGTCCATTCAGAAAACAACAAAATCAATGATTTTCACCATATAAGATGCGTGGTGACGCTGGAAAAGGTGACTTTTGCATCTGAAAACGTTCACAAAGTTTCCTCACTACATTTTAGATATATACCATGCATAATGAAAAACTAATGTCGTACGCTTATTCGCACTACTACCGGTATACCTACGATTTACTGGCGGTAGAGCTTATCACTTTCAGTTCCAGCTACAGATGATTGCAGAGAATATTTTCTACCCAAATTCAAATTATTTATTAGAAAGTTTTCAAAACAATCGCGAAGAAAACAGTGTCAGAGGACATTCTACAAATAAGGATTTTTGCAGTGGTATCCATAATAAAAATTTATCTTCTAACTAGGGTCAGTTTGGGCTCTTTGGTTAGTACGAGGAGCTCAGACGCATCAACATTATCAAATTGCATCAAAAACGACAGAATTCTGTCAATTTCAACAGACATCATAAATATTCATCCGTTTTCATATAATACACCATGTTATAATGCTTCCAACAAAAACTGGTGATATAGCACATATTATACCGATCGGTATATTGATGATTGTTTCTTGATAGTTATCACATGGGAAGTCATTTTTATCTTCAACACACGTCGAAATAATGCGAATAAAATTTCACACATCTTCTAGATGCAAAAGGTGCTTCTGTGTAAGCATCTTCACGCATCTTTTATAATGAAAGTAGCTGTCTTTGGTGTTTTCTAAATGGACATGAAAACACTAAAATAGGAACGGCGATCAGAGTGTTTGAACGCGTTTTCAGAAATACATATCTGCTTGGGGAATATCGAATTTGTATACGAAGCAATAGAATAGAATATATACAATTATGAAAAAAATCTAAGCCAGTATACATTCTCCGTATATGACAACATGAAGATAAAAGATCTTAATATTGAACCATATAAACAGTTCCATCTGCTGAAGTATGATTGCCTTCGATCATATATACTTGCTCAACCAGGATGATTGAAAAACTCATAAATTAGTCAGCTTTCAACGCATTTTTTTGACGATCCAAGATGTGAGCATTTTTTAGCTACTACGAAGTACATTGTGCATTATAAAGGAAAAATAGATCGCATCGACAAAAATTATCTATGACTTATTTTTTAGATGTTGTTATTAGTTACTGAAAGAAATTTCTCACATGATTTATAATTCAAAGTCAAGTTCAAATAAACTTTATCTTTTGCCATTAGCTGATTCAACTGATTTGTCAATTTTCATTCATATTCGAACTCAAATTGAATAAATATTCAATAAAATCTTACTGTGTGTATTGGAAGATATTTGCGTGTCTGGTAAAAGTTCTTTAAGAATAAAATTCCAGTGATTTTCTAATTCTTGCATATTAACTAAACGAAGTGTCGAATCACAACCAGTTGATTTGTCAGGTTTGAATCTCGTTATTTGTTTTCTTCTACATATTTGAATAAATTGTTCAATTGAAGACCATGGAAAATAAATCGAAACAATATCTTTTATTGAAACACATAATATTGTTTGATTATCTTTTTCTTTCAAATTTGTTGATGATGTCGTACAATATGATAAAATTTCTTGTCCATGAAATACTATTTGTCGGCAAAATGAGTTATTTGATTCAGCTGTTTTAGATTTGACATCTTTCTGAGTCAGAAGCTATTAAAAAACAAAAATCGTTTTTAATTTTCATGAAAATCTTCATCTACATACAGATGATTTGTACACATTATTAATAACTTGTTTCTCTGCATCTAAAACAATAGACAAATATTTTATATCTCTCAAAAATATTATGTCTATTCAAAAGAATCGTGGAGTATATTTATTGGTCAGATCTTGATTCGTACTTTTGTATCGAGATATTTCTTTTATTTCATTATATTCTTCAAGGCTTACAAGTTATCATCTCCCAACAATAATGATCAGTCTAATACTATGACTTAAGACATGTTTATCCAAAAGTAAATATCTTTTCGACAACGACCGGCTAGTCAAAGGTGAAGTCTTTAAGTATTTGTAGAAAAATTTGAGGAATTACATTTACTTGTAACCTAGTTTTCCATTTATCATGTCTCATACATATAAAATGAAGTTATTGAAAATATTTTCAGCTTTTGCATATCGATTCAGGAAAATAGTGTATGCAAACATAGTTTTTCAATTTTTGACATAGAATATAAGAGATGACGTTTGTCTCTTATCCTTACAAATATTCGCATAGGATATTTCTACATATTTATGTATGTGTGTTAAGTAGTCTTCATTTTCAGGTCTTTTTAAATGTTTTCTTGCATGCAAAATTACAAGCACTCATATGTTAGCATTTAAGTTCTCCACAAATATACGCGAATGTCCTCACATGTAACAACAAGTGCATGCATACTTGAATATTGATACATATGACTATGAATTCAGGTCAATGAATACGGAGTTCGTATACTCCTGTACAGGACCGTATACATTCAAGATACGACGGTATACGACCGCATTTTGACGATTTACATGCTTCAGTACGACGGTCGTATATCGCTGTAACCATATACGGCGAAATATGATCATATACGGAGAAATACGTAGCAAAACGGAGATTGTATACGAACTCCATATACGAGGATCGTAAACGATCGGTTTTTTTTCGTATATCTCTATATACGACACGGAGATATACGATCGTAATACTGGACCATGTAAATCGCTGTATTTCTTCCTATACGGTCGTTTACGACCGTGCTTGTTTGATCTGGGAATGTAGGTAGGTGAATATCTGAAGATGTTCTTATACATAGCATATTACAGAGATTCATACCTGTAACTGCAATATCGTCGTGCCTTTAAACTCGTTTCTTTTTTATTACTGCGCATGACTGAGGCGTGTCTGTTAGCTACTTTTTAACTTGCACTCGGCCACCCATAAAAACGGCTATCACTGGTATGTTCAACGTATTGCTAATAAAAAATATGAAACACTACTGTGTAATAATGGCTTATAGGTTTATTGATAAACATGTACCACTATATTTTAGGTTCGCCTATCATAGATCCCTTCTCAACAAACTCAACATGAATGATAACTTCGATAGGAAGAAATTTGCGAGCTTCGTATGTCAATAAATTGTTCAAAAAGAGTGTAGATTCTTTTAAGTTATAATAGCCTCACTAAAGCCTCCCTTTGTGGAATCATTCGGCATGTAAGCGACTGTATATGATTAAATTAGAGTAATTTTCGGCCTGGACATTATGTCCATAAAAAGCACACCGTGTTATGTTACAATTCGATGCCGTATGCGGTGTTCGACTACGGTACTACGTAAACATATCATATCTATGCAGTACTCGTACCGTATCAGTAAATTGTTCTAAGTATATATTGCGACACTGTATAATGATACACAATAGGTCATTCTTGTTGAACCATATCTAAAACTATTCAATTCACTTGGTTTTAACGTTACTCGGTGTTTTTTCTTCGTAAACATAGTTCTATTAACAGTTTTAATCCTCTAGAATGCTGTTTCTGTGTTAATGTGAAGTCTCCTTGACTACGATGAGTTGATCTATATATTAATTGATTGCTTTTATTGAGTTTGATCGGAGACTAGTAAGTGGGTCTGAAAAAGTAGGTTTGACATGTAAACTCGAAACTCCGAGCTTGCTTTTCCCATCCGAGTTTTATCAATCATTTCTAGTCGGTATTTTATGATTTATAATAGTCAAATTTCTTTGATTGTGATGTAAGTTGGAGGATATTATGTAATTGTTGAATAATTCATAATTAATTAATTAATTAGTACTCACCCAATTAGTACTCATCTAATTGATAGTCATCTAATTAGTACTCAATCAACGAGTACTCGTCTAATTAGAACTCTAGTCATTAGTTGGGCTCTCAAGGAATAAATATTAAGTAGTCGAGTCGTAATTAGATGAGTATTCATTAGTTAAGTACTAATTGCGTGATTACTAGTTAGTGAAGTATTGATTGATTCATTATTAACTATTAGCTATTTACAAAATGCTTTTCACCTTGGATTACAGTCAAAGACGTCTAATCGTAATAAATTATAAAGCATGCTCTCTAAAAAACACGTATCATACTAAGTCTTTTATGACTCTAGATTTTGGTACCTTTTTCCGTACCTTTTTAGGTTCTAGCCAAAAAGCGTTCTAGAGTTTTAACTACAACTTAAAAATGTTCAAAAAATGACCCCATAATCTAAAACCATGAAAGATTCAGTGCAATACTGTTTTTTCAAAGAGTAGACTGCACTTGATTGTTAGAATGTGGACAGAAGAAAAGTGAACTCGAAATTCTGCGTTTAAGCAGTTCGAGCTCACTCTTTTGACGTACTAAATGCTATTTAAAAAAATATCTTTGTATCTCATTTCATAATGATGGAAATGAGCTCAGCCATAAAGCAAAAGATAAGAAAGGTGCTTTTACGACACCTTATGTGTTGTTTCTCCCTAATAAGTAAATACTATACGTGCTAACAATACACTTATTAAGTCTCATGCATTACAAGAAAGATTTTTTTAGTCATAGTCCCCTCATTTATATCTGTTGAGGATAAAAATTCTTTCTTTTTGCAGATCTAAATAGATTTCTCAAAGTTCTCTTCTTTTCAATATTTCCCACATCGGTTATAAGATATTGGAAAGTATATATAATGAATACAT